ACCCTATGCGGGATGCTCCCGCGAAATTTTTGGTTACTAGACGCCCGAAAATATATTTTTTCTTTTCTCTCTCTATCCCCCCTCTCTCTCCCCCCCCCTCTCTCTTTTTTTTTAACTTTCCAAAGGGAGAAGGGGATGGGATCATGGGAAAAGCAACCCCCGTGGCTCATGTATGTCCACCAGTAGATTTCGATTCAGAACCTCACCCATATTTTTTTTTTTTTTTTTTTTTTGAGATTTCATTGACCTACACTGACAATATACAGTGGCCGTTTGTGTCACATAGCAGATGATTTTATCTTTATCTAGACAGCAATATCATGCCAATAACAAACAAATTGTATTTTTTTTTTCAGTGAAATGTCTGCTTTGGGTTCTTTGGAGTTGTTAGCAGCTGGGTTCTCCGCATCATTCGGAGTCGAGGTTCTACTTCCGGGTGCAGCTACAGATGGGGCACCAAACGCTCCACAAAAGCTCACCATCCACGACCTCTTTCACATCTCCCATTCCATGGTTCCAAGGGAGATGCCTGCGACGACTGGTGGTGAAATCGAGGTGAATATTCGAGGTCTGACTGGGGCAACGACTATGGTAAGAGTGACGCCAGATACTACCATTGGAGAGATGAAGAACATGACGAGCGACAAGCTAGAAATATCAAAACTACTAAAATTTATTTTTGATAGGAGGATCATGGAAGACGAGAAGACGGTTGGGATGGAAGGAATCTTAAATGGTAGCACTGTAAACTACATCATTTTGAGCGAAGATAGAAAATCAAATGGCGTCTTTCAAATGGATACCGCTTTACTCGCTCGAAATAAAGATTACGATTTTACGAAACAGAATGATGGAGATAAAGTTTTCATGAGAGGGAATATCGCTATCATCGCCCGTGTGGCTGGTATAGATACGCAGTTGCTGTAAAAGATGTTTACGGTGATAACACTTGGCTTGGGGTTGATGGTATACGAACGGAAACCTCTGCGGGAGAGTGGCCTGTCTCCTACCATGGAACAAAGATGAGAGACGAAGGTGACGTTGTCCGGAAGTTCATAGAGGGTCCTGAGGCAGAGTACATCAAAGGAGTCTACAGCAGTCCTTCCTTGGCTATGGTCGATGAATTCTACGCTCAGATTTTTGAATTCAAAGGCAAAAGATACAAGATCGCCTTGCAGAATCGAATTAATCCTGACAAGGCTGGTGGCCACATGAAGGTCATTCCAGCCGATCAGACAGAGGTAGGAGCTGAATATTGGGTATCACCAATGGAAAACCAATCCAAAAAGGTATTTGATGTCAGACCTTATGGCATTATCATCAAACAAATTGATGTCCAGGAAGACAACTCCACGTCCAAGAGTTCCTGCAATTATATCCTCTAAATTACAACCGAACTATAGTAGGTCTTCCTCGAAGACCATTTTTTGGGACTGAGGTTTCCATGGTCTTTGGCAGCTCATCTCTAATTAGAATAATAAAGATAACAGTCATTTGTACCTACAATTTCTGAAAGTTGAAAATAAGCGGAGGCCTAATATCAAATCTTGAGGAGAGCTAGTTGCTCTAAGAAATAATAATTTAAAAAAAAACTACATACGCATGAGAAAAATGTCGGTTATACATACAATATTATATAGCTTTTTTTGTCTGTTCAGGATGCAGTTCAACTTCAAGAGGACGCAAGTCACCTCGCTGACTGGGTCGGAATCTGGGGCTCACCCTTAACATTCATAAATGTAAATTTGTGTCCATTACTCTTAAGAAAAAACCAGTTCTGTTTCGTTATAAATTAAATATGCAAGAATTTGAGTTAGTCTCTTTAGGTGTTTTTATTGACAGTAAGTTAAATTTCTGTTAAATATGTTGTGTCAAATGCTCTTTAAAATGATGGGTATGATTTGGAGAAATTGCAGGTTTATGAATGATGGGCATGCTCTATTCTAAATTATCTACTCTAAATAAATAAAATATACACCCATATATATATCAGAGGGAGTCGGGCTAGTCCAGTCCAAAGACTAATGGGGCGGAGAACCAAAACATTTGTCCCAACATCAACAACCATTCTCAAGCCAGGCATAGACATTAAAAGAAACCAGGAAGACAAACGCCAAACAGTAGCGGCAAAGCATTTACACAAAAAAACTTGACGCCACTACACTCCGGCGACACAGTGAGAATCCAGCCAATACAGCGGGCAAGAAGGGATGGAAACAGGCGACAGTAGCCAAACGCTTAAGTGCCCGTTCTTATGAAGTAGTTACTGATGACGGAAGGACCTACCGCAGAGGTCGAAAATTGTTAAGATCCAGACAAGAACACAACCATCAAGAAACACAGATCACACCGGTTGGAGGCACAGACAGAAAACCAAGGGAACCTACTGGGAAACCACAAACAAAATCACCACAGAAACAAACAAGCAGGCCACAACCAACAACCAAAGAAAACTATGTAACGAGATCAGGAAGAATCAGCAAACGTGTGTAGAGGCTGAATTTGTAACTGAAACTTTGAGCAGACGCTGATTAATAATGAACATTTGTTTGACACTTATCATCAGCATCTGATGGAACCGATATAATTGTCCCTTATAACTGATCAATAATCATCATCACTTGATTGGACTCTGATTTATATGCTATACATGTTGTAGCTGGTGTATATATGATATACAATTAAGACTGAAGAAATAATGACTCAAGATGTGTATAAGAGACAGGTGTGTATATGTATGTATGTATGTATACCAGAAAGGCTGACGTCTTCGGTATCATAATATAGGCCTATCCAAGTTCTATCCACTACGTTGATTGATGTAAAAGTTAGGCGCAAATACACATTTGTTATCATTTTTAATTTTATTATCATTGTTCGATTCAACGTAAACTATTCCTTGATTGTATTTACATTTGCACTTTGACACGACAATACAGATTATTATTTTGGGGAAAACCAGACTGCGGAAGCGATGTTTAGCTGTACTAGGCCTATTATTGTTTTATAATTTCTGAACTCTAGTTTAAGTAATTTATAGCAGCAAGGAACAGTTAATATATTTAAAAAACTGGCATTATGTAGCTGTACTAGGCCTATTATTGTTTTATAATTTCTGAACTCTAGTTTAAGTAATTTATAGCAGCAAGGAACAGTTAATATATTTAAAAAACTGGCATTAATCCGATTAATAGGCCTATTTTTTACTCGCAATCTCATGCTTACTTGTCTTAATAGAACACAAACTGTAGTAGTGGAAACATCGAGTTATTGTCCTCATGACTGATCAATACCAGTATGTAGCCAACCTAAATTTAGGATTTAAAATATTCAATAATTATATTAAATATTCATAGTTTAAAAAGTCTATTATAAATATTCATTGGATTTTCAAAATGCACAATACGGGCTCGACAAAGGTTACCTGTTGACCTTGCACTGTGACTGAATACGCTATTTATAACTGTGGGGAAAACCCAGACTGCAACAACGATACGTTTTCACTTTAAAATACAGATCGACTAGGCCTATACCTCCTGCAGGCTTCAAAACAGCTTTTTTTCAGGCTTGGTTTCTGAGTGTTACGGTTAGTCTAATCGAATAATATCTAAGTAGTCCAATTCCAATTCCGTATCCATAAGTATTTCATGGTTGTTTTGAATAATGTTTGTTTTATGGGGCCATGGCAAGCGAGTTTGCAGAAATGCTTATCTGACATACGGGCCTCCATGATTAATATGGACAAAATACCGGTGTCTTATTGGATTTTGGCCACCGGTGATGTAGGCCTATTGTTAGGAATAATATGGACAAAATACCGGTGTATTATTGGATTTTTTGGCCACCGCGGTGGCACCGATGCAATTCTACTGTAGCCTATTCTTCGTGGTGAATGTCAACTCCACCCCCCAAGAAATCCGGTGACATGGCTCCCTCTATCTAAAGTTCTGCCCGGGAGACTGAATTTACTTCATACACTCCGGTCAATTCACTGGGATTATGGCCAAGGATTTTAGCTGTAGGCAGAATTTCTTGTGGATTTTCCTATTCCGCCCTGTATTTATTTTTGTTTGAAAATGTGTCATTGCGATTCAATATACATAATACTGTACAGAATGTCATGGCTACATCAAGCTACAGTTATTGTTATTCTAGATATTAATACGTGCTGTAGTTCAGTTAGGGGCTAAGGACCGTTGAGGAGGACCCATAGTGGGATTAGCGAAAAAGCGAACCCCCGGGGCTCATGTACTTCCACCAGTATATTTCGATTCACATGACAAAATAAGACATAATGCTGTACATATTTCAGGAAAATTACATTTATAGTGTGTCTCCAACTCGATAGACTAACTATAAATAGAAGATATGGTTGAAATAATTTGTAGGCCTACTTTCTTTTTGACCGACTCAATCAACTGATATTCAATAATAATATTAAAAAAAGAAAAAAAAAAACGGAAAAAAAAAGTTCACAAAAATGTCTGAAGTTTGTACTTATGTTTTCTGTGAATTGACCCACTTACTTGGGAAGTTTGGGGACGTGGCAGTTGACTGTATGCTGAGTGGGATATGCTTCTCAAGACCAACAATGCATGAAAGTTTACAGTGCAGTGCGTGTCACTACCCCGTGTGTACGCGCTTACTGTGCCTTTGGGGGTTACCCAAGGTGCAGCAGCATATTCGTACCGTACTGTACGGTACCTTTTGTAGTCTGTCCTTTCACTTGGTTGTCAGGGCGAATCTCTTTCGGCCAAGACAATGTTTTAATCATGTCATCATTTCACTGAGAGCCCCATCCATATATATATTTTTTATAAAACAAAAAAGTCTTATTTCACAAAATATATCCGTTTGAAACAAGTGAGATTTCACGCTGACCTACACTGAGAACATACAAAGTGGCCGTTTGGGCCACATACCAGATTGTTAAATTTTATCTTCACCTAGGCAGCAATATCATGCCAATAAAAAACAAAATATGTATTTTTTTTTCAGTGAAATGTCTGCTTTGGGTTCTTTGGAGTTGTTAGCAGCTGGGTTCTCCGCATCATTCGGAGTCGAGGTTCTACCTCCGGGTGCAGCTACAGATGGGGCATCAAACGCTCCACAAAAGCTCACCATCCACGACCTCTTTCACATCTCCCATTCCATGGTTCCAAGGGAGATGCCTGCTACGACTGGTGGTGAAATCGAGGTGAATATTCGAGGTCTGACTGGGGCAACGACTATGGTAAAAGTGACGCCAGATACTACCATTGGAGAGATGAAGAAAATGACGAGCGACAAGCTAGAAATATCAAAACTACTAAAATTTATTTTTGATAGGAGGATTCTGGAAGACGAGAAGACGGTTGCGATGGAAGGAATCTCAAATGGTAGCACTGTAAACTACATTATTTTGAGCGAAGATAGAAAATCAGATGGCATCTTTCAAATGGATACCGCCTTACTCGCTCAAAATAAAGATTACGATTTTACGACTCGGAATGATGGAAATAAAGTCTTCATGAGAGGGGAATATCGCTATCATCGTCCGTGTGGCTGGTATAGATACGCAGTTGCTGTAAAAGATGTTTACAGTAATAACACTTGGCTTGGGGTTGATGGTATACGAACGGAAACCTCTGCAGGAGAATGGCCTGTCTCCTACCATGGAACAAAGATGAGAGACGAAGGTGAAGTTGTCCGGAAGTTCAGAGAGGGTCCTGAGGCAGAGTACATCAAAGGAGTCTACAGCAGTCCTTCCTTGGCTATGGTCGATGAATTCTACGCACAGATTTTCGAATTTGAAGGGAAAAGATACAAGATCGCCTTGCAGAATCGAATCAATCCTGACAAGGCTGGTGGCCACATGAAGATCATTCCAGCAGATCAGACGGAAGTAGGAGCTGACTACTGGATATCACCAATGGAAGATCAAACTGAAGGAATTTTTGATGTCAGACCTTACGGCATTATCATCAAACAAATCTAAGGCTAACAAACGTTTTGTATTATCAACTGAATCAGATATGAAAAATACGAACTACAGTACAGTACAACATAAATACAATATAACCATCTATAAAGTGACCGTGTGTCATGTTTCATTAAGACACGTAACCTAAATACTAACGGATATATGTTGCCTGTGTTGAGCTA